ACACAAATACTGATGACTGAAGTCAAATTGGTTCTGACTGACAGCAACCCTGGAGTGGGTTTCGGATACTGTGAAATGACAGGAGCAGCAGCCACAGTATTTTCCCTCGGAGCTGTTGGCGAGTTTGAACTCCCAAGCTTGCAGTTAGTGGCCCAATGCAAAATCCACTGCACCACTAAGGCTTGTGACACAAATATTACAGCCCTGCAAGTGGAAAACTTATCTTCGATTAATGTAAGATTAATGTTTTAAACAAGTGATCCAAAGCGGTGGTGAGGAGGGTGTAGGAGGCCTGGTAGGGCGTGACCAAGGGTAATGCAACCGAGAGGAATTACTGAAACCCAAATGAAGACTAAGCATGATAGTGGGACAAGAGGAAAGTCAAAGGAAAGAGAGGAAAGAGCTAGGAGGGAAAGGGCATATATAGAGGTCTAAACAGAGGCATGTACATATGTAAATATATTTACATATGAGGATATGGAAATAGATCTATGTGCATATATGTATAGGTTTAGTATTAAGGTAGCAGATGGACATTAGGCTCCACTTAAGTACTCCCTCAATGCAAGAATGCTTTGTTCTATTAAACTGGCATTCCATGATTCTCATTTTCCTGACACAATCGCTGAAGACAAATGGATGCATAAGCAAATGTGGTGAAGAAAGCTGATGGTACCCGGCTATCAAAAGATATAGCGTCTGGGGCCTTACAGGCTTGAAGGTAAACAAGCGTCCGTCTAGTTCAGAAGCAACAAAGCCCACATGGAAGAAGCACACCAGCCTGTGCGATCACGAGGTGTCAAAGGGATCAGGTATCAGGCATCATCAGAACAAAAAAATCATATAATTGTGAATGAGTGGGGGAGTGCGGAGTGGAGACCCAAAGCCCATTTGTAGGCCACTGGACATCCTCTTACAGAAGGGTCTCAGGGAGGAGACGAGCCAGTTAGGGTACGATGTAGCAAGGATGTAACATACAACGTTCCTCTAGTTCCTAAATGCTTCCTCCCACCCACTATCATGATCCCAATTCTACCTGACAAATCTGGCTAGACCAGAGGATGTACACTGGTACAGATAGAAACGGGAAACACGGGGAATCCAGGGCAGATGATCCCTTCAGGACCAGTGGTGAGAGTGGTGATACCAGGAGGGTGGAGGGAAGGTGGGGTGGAACCGATTACAAGGATCTACATATAATCTCTTCCTTGGGGGATGGACAACAGGAAAGTGGGTGGAGACATCGGACAGCGTAAGATATGACAAAATAATAATTTATAAATTATCAAGGTTCATGAGGAAGGGGGGAGTGGTGAGGGAGGGGGAAAATGAGAAGCTGATGCCAGGGGCTTAAGTGGAGAGCAAATGTTTTGAGAATGATGAGGGCAATGAATGTACAAATGTGCTTTACACAACTGATATATGTATGGATTGTGATGAGTAGTATGTGCCCCTAGTAAAATGATTTTTTTAAAAAGATTAATGTTTTAGATCTTTCTGAACATAATACACAATATATTCTAAATTACTAGAGTTTAAGAAGGCAGAAAAGACTGCCTTTCATGAGGAAATCAGAGTACGGTAATCCTCTTGCTCGTCATTGTTGTTAGGTGCCCAGGAGACTATTTCAACTCACAGCGACCCCATGTGGCAGAGTAAAACTGACCTGCAGGCTGTAATCTTTTTTTTTTTAAGCAAAGATTTAATAAGCAAAGTATGCTTCAATCATGAAGCCAGTTGTTAGTGGGTCAAGTGGCAGAACCCCCATTGGCTCGTCTCAGCCCCTATTCTGCTTTCCCATTGGCTCTTATTCTTGCATCCTGATTGGTCCTTATTCCAGCATAATGGTTGGTCTCTTAGTCCACAGTGTGTGCACCTCATTATCATGGTCCGTGGTGCTAGTCAATAGGTTATCCTGACGTGGCCTTTGGGATGGACCATCTGGGATTTGAGCTGACACGACCAGTGGGATGAATCAAATGAAGCAATTTGGAATAGGTCATCCAGACCCCTAGATAACCTTGACTTTCTGGTTGAATAGATCATGTGAGGTAATTCGGGATAGGTCATTTGGACATTATAGGTCATCCAGACCCCTAGATGACCCCCTGAAGAGAACAGGGAATAAAACTCTAAGAATTCATTCGGGATATTGAACAACGACTGATTTGGCTACTTCCTGCTGAAATGGGATGAAGGATCTTCCCCCAGCCCTCCAGAGTCCACGCTCTTCACTGGGCCTAAAGCTCTGAGCTGCCTGGTCCACCATCAGGAGTGGGGTGGGGCTGTACCAGTTCAGCACCAGCGTTTTCACACGGAACTGCTGCAGTATGGAACAAACTTGACTAACAGGTTAGCTACATGGGCTGAACAACAGAAGGCAGATAGCTTATTATTGGCCCCAGGAAGGGATACAGCCAGGATTGGGAGCAGATATGTGTAGGCTATAGTTTTTACAAGAACAGATTACCCACTTGGTGGGTTCAAACTGACAAAACTTTTTTTTTTTTTTTGGGGGGTGGGGGTCGATGGCAGTTATTATTAGCTTACCAGTTAAGCATTGCACCATCAGGTTTCCTTGACTTTCCTATTACATTTTAAACACACACACACACCACACCACACCTTTCACTTGGCCTACAAAATGCATGTAATCTGGTCCGTCTCCCTCTCAGATGCCTCCATTTTACTCCCCAGCACATACTGGTTTCCACCACAAGGCCATTGCTTCCACCTGTCTGCCTTCCTACGATGCGCCCCTTCACAAGTTTGGCCTAGATTCAAACTGCTGTAGCGTCCCTTAAGACTCGTAGCAACCCCACAAAACAAAGTAGAACATCTTGATGTGGAATAGAAGATGAAAAATCTCAACAAGAGCAGAAAGCCTCACCTTCTCTCCCATAGAGAGGATGGTGAGTTTCAGCAGCTCAACACCTAAGCACCCTCATTTCTTTATTTCTTACTAACCTCCTTCCTCGCCAAAGATCCCAGCCTAGGGATGGTGGGGATGTGAATATCAGTTTTCAATGAAGCAACTCATTACATAGACATTTTAAGTAACACCTGAATCCTTGTCCACACATGTGTATGGATTGAGCGTTTGGTGAGTAAGAATGCCTTCAAAGTAGGATTTCAAATGTCCTAAAGTTCAATGCTAAAAGCATTGTGTTGCCAGTGACTAAAAAGCTAGTGATTTGGGGATTAAAGAGTAAGGGGAACTCCAAGTTAGTCAAGATTCTGTTTGTGCTTTTCAACCGTCAAGGCCTACGAATTAAAAGTAGTCTGCTCAGCCAGGTTGGAATGAATTATAACTTACCAGTCAAGGACATTTGGACCATTTTCAAGTCTAAATCTAGTTTATATGAGTTTACACCCTGAAAAACATTTTTTTAATTTAATAAGCCAGCAATAATACCATACAGAGAAGACCACAACCCAGAAGTCCAAAAATTGGTCATGTCTTTCCATTTTGTTTTGGGACTGTTTAGATTACAAATTTACATTACGGGTATATGACCACTTTAAACTACATAAAATCATATATATGCACACACTAAATTCATATATGCAAGTTAGCCTTAATCGAACGATGATTCCTTTATCAAAGGATTTGCCAATGAATGCTGATAAATAACTAGCTCGTGAATGAAGGTAAAGTAATTCTTACAAAAATTTCACATACTTGGGACTTTTCAGGAGCATAGCTTCTTCATAAACTCATGTAGATCTAGGAATTGGTATATGTTTTTTTGTTAACAAACGGTATTTTAAAAATTACTTCCAATAACATCACATTGGATTGCTATTGCTTGTTGGGCAAAGATGGGCATTCATATTGCCCTACAAATTGCATTATTTAAGACAGGCCTTAGAACTACAGAACTGAGTTTTTTTATTCTAAATTGAATTTAAATTTTTAAAGATATTTCTTAATATTCTAGTGTATTTATCAGTTCAAAAGTACCCTTTCTTCCGCCGTATTGTTATGTTTTAATCGTTTAGGAAGTTTAATGTGAAATCCTAAAGTCTCTGGGATTCAAAGAAATCTTCACCAATAAAATTACATCATTTCATCCTATCACAAAACTTTAAAATTTCAAAAAACAGAAATTTTCTTTGATGTGAAAATCCTAACGCTTTGTCCTTAAGTAAGAGTTTATGCATTTCAGATTGTGCTTTTCTTCATTAAAAGCATTCATGGAATTTCATTTGCCTTAGTCCTCTTTACACTGCAAAACTTTTTAGATGCCATCTATACTCGAGTACACGCCTACTCAAATATCAGCCAAGGCACCTAATTTTACCAAACTGCATAAAAACATGTGCTGAAAAACCTGGCTTATACACGAGTATATACGGTACTATAATACAACGGCCTCCCCACACAGGGTTATTAATATATTGCTCCAGAAATGGAACCCCAGGAAAATCAAAGTAATAAATCAAGTGCTACCTATTTACACAACTGATCTTTATTTCTAAAACTATGTCTGAATTTTGTATTTTTATCACAACTGAGTGTTAAAACATAGAAAATAAGCTACTTCCAAATCCCAGAAAAACTTGTTGGCTCATAGATCAATTCTAAAAGGTTAATTCTCTGAGCTTAGACAGTTGTTCGATTTCTATGGAAAGTATGATTTTCTTTTCTCTTATCCCAGAATGTTTAACATATCATTTTTATTTAAAATTTAATATGCATTCATTAGGTGGTGAAAAGACCTGGTTTTGGGGGGGTAATTGAATTCAATTTCCAGAATCTAGTGCTATGTAACAATTTACCGTCTGGTACTGCTGTCATTAGATAATAACCTATTAAAATTTGGAATTTTGTTTCTCTAGAGAACCAAGCCTAATACAGAGGTAAATGCTTACAACTGATGAAAAGATCTTGGTGCAGCAGTTTTTTTCATCAGTGAAAATAATACTTAGTTTCTAAGGCTTTTTTTCCCTCCCCGCCTCCTAGCCCCCCCCCACCCCTTCTGCAATGGTCTACCTAAATGTACTTAGCATACTTCCATATATTCAATTTCAAGTCTTTAAAGGAAATAGCAAGTACAGGTACGTGAGGCCCTGGCACAGTAATCAGGTATTCCAGTGTCTCCACCGGTAATCTCTGGGTATCGCTATGGAGCCAGGGTAGCGGCATTAAGACCCCCTACTTTTCAGATTTGGGTCTCCAGGGATCTCTCCATTTCAAGTGAGCACGTTACTTATCATCAGCTCACCAAACACTGAGCATTCATGTTTGCACATATAAGAAGAATATATCCTCTTTTCCATCATTTTCATTATTTGAAGCCTTTTAATCCTTTGGGGATCAATATTTAATAACAGATTTTTTTTTGGTAAATTGATAATGGTTAAATGATATTGGTCCTTCTGTGTAATCATTTCAAACTTATTTGCCAACAACCAGAATCCTAATCATTTTAGCAGTTTCATGCAGTGAACTCTCAATATTCCTTTAAGGGCAAACATATAAAGGAAGTGAAGGCTTTTCACCATTCAGAAAACATTTTCAAGTTCAATTGCACACACACCGTCTTGAAACACTTAAATGAAACACCTGAATTTTATGAATCATATTTTTTTCTCAGGATTTGTGTAACATCTCTTTTAACCTCATCCTTCCTGGGAATCGAACCTGTTTCTTAATGTCCTCTAAAGTATCTGTATCTATACTTTCATTTCACAATAAATCCTTTATGTCTTCTTTAAGGAGAAGTCTTACAGATTACTTGGAAGATTTTCCTTTAAATATGTCATTAAAGAGTATCATCACAAGTAAATGGGAAATTTATATGATAAGATAATGTAATGAAACTAGTTCTAAACTCAACCCCACCCATTGATAACCACTTTGAACCATCTAGTGAATTAATTCAATATTTAAATTAAGCTTTTGTAAATTCTTATCAGAGTTGACCAGTTGATCTAATTCATTGATGGAAAACTGTCTCATATAATTACTGAAATTACAGATTTAGAAATGAAACATTCCATTAGCTATCTCTGCCACAATAGCAGCATAATGGTACACTTTGTTCCTTTACTCCTCCTTCCCACCCGCTAAGAAACAGGGATGTTATTATGTGGTTTTATTTTACATCCTGACCTCAGTCCCTTGGATTTGGACATGATCCCTACTAAGACATAGCTGTACAACTTCAGAAGCCTATCTCTATAACGTACTCACAGCTGAAGCCAAAACTCGCTGTAAGTTTTAAATCTCTTGTGGGATAAAACAAAATTCTATATTTTCACTATTAGAGAACTATGTATGTGTTTTTAAAATAATTTATGTAAATAAAAAAAATTATGTAAATAATGATCAGGTTGCTGAAGATGCAATAGATTTAAAAACAAAACTGCTTTCCAGCAAGACTACTTAAATATTTTCTAAATGATAGTTGCTTTTGTATTGTCAAAGTTCAAGATCTCTACCCCCACCCCCCCACGCACCTACCCCTTCTTTTCAACTGCTCAAAACAATGGCCTTACAAATTTTCCTTTATCAGATAGTAGCTAAAAGATGGTAAACTCGCCAGTGCTTTCCCCGTTGTTCTCTGTACTGGGACTAGAAAGGGTACTCTGACTCTTTGTCCATGGTCCAAGCCAAATCATACAACACTCTGTATCCAACTGAAGGTTTCAGAATAAACAAAAAGAAGAACTCTAACTCTTTAGCACAGTAGGTTCTACGTTTACGGAGCCCATAAGCTGAGTTCGTGCTGAAAGTAAAAACAGTCTCCAGAGTTTAAATGAACTCTCCAATACTGAGATCAGCAACTCCAGGAAAATTAGGAATATGTTGGTAACCCCTAACCTTTTCTCAAACTGACCTCACCCTGGGCAAGGAAACCATTCCCTGATGCCATTATTGGAGCAAACTTCTGGCGGAGAGATCATTTTTCTGACTCAATTTGGCTTGCTTTTTTTTTTTTTTTTCGTTAATCATCCCCACTTCTTTCAACATTCAGTCTTCTGACTACAGTGTCAACATTTATCTTTGGGAAAAGGCTTAAGTGATTCGATTGCTCCTGCCGTCTTCCTCTTTATCCCCACTCAATCCCAGCCCCCATTCCTATCGCCCTTGTTTCACTGAGATTTTGCTAAATATTAGACACGGCACATGACCTCCAATGTTCCGGTGTCTCGGAACAGGCTGACAAAAAAAGATTCGCTTAGCGCCATGGTGAGATGCTCTAAGTCTTGGAATTTAAAATAGCTCCAGCTCTTCGACACTTACAGAACCTTCAGTGCAAACATTTAAATGATTTTTTTCTTGCATAAAGAAACCTCTCCCCTTTCTAACCTTAAGCCCCGCCCCCGCCCCCTAGCATCCACGCGAAACGCTGCTGGAAGCCGGAGGGGCGGGGCGGTGACGTCACGACGTCGGCGCGTCGGGGAACGGCGGCAGCTGCGGCGCCGGCGGTGGCTGCGGCAGCGGCGGCATTTTAGTCGGCGGCGGCGGCGGGGTCACTGCTCCTCCCAGCATCCTCGGCGCGGCCATTTCAGCCCCATCTTGGTCGAGGGGAGGGAGCTGCAGCCGCCCGCTTCAGCAGTTTGAATTTCAGTTTCTCCAGGGTTTGCGAACCGAGAGCACCGGGGAGAGGGGCGAAGAAGACACCGCCGCTACCTCCCACAGCCGGGGCACCTCCGCTCGCTGGCCCGTGGTGCGCCGCCGCCCCTCACTCAGAGCCGCGAGGGAAGGCCGGGACTGCCGCCCGCGGGGGTGGCTCCCCCTCTGAGGGGAGGACCGCGCCGCGCCGCGCCGGCTTTCCCCTCATCTGGAGCGGGTTTCCGCCTGGGACAGTCAACATGTCTCTGGGGCTGAGCTCCGGCTAGAGCCGCGGAGGGAGGGCCGCAGCCCCACCGCCCGCTCGCGGAGCTTCCGTCAGCTCCGGGCCGGCGGCTCCGGGCGGAATCCGGAATCCCGGGCTCGGGACTCGCCACTCCTCCCCCTCCGCTACGCG